ACCGAGGGTCGAACCGTGACACTTACTCGCCTTGCTGGGCTCTGATCCTCGTCGCACCTATCAACATTCTCAACTGCCCTCTTCGCCGCACGGCCACCCTCCCCGCCAACCCGCCCGGTTCGCATTCCGATGTCAACCTCACACACGTCGCGACCCGTTCACTTCATACGAGCGCATCATCTCCGCTCGCGTACATCCGCACCTTCGACTTCAATCGTTCGCATTCCGGGTTGGCAGCGCCACATCGCCTCTCGCCCTCAACCTTTCTCACCGGGGGGTTTATTCTTCTGACAGGGGGAGAGTGTAAGCCTATGGCTTACAACCATGACACTTCTTCCCACGCTTTGGACATGTATATGTACCTCGCGACCTCATGTTGTACCGCATCTTCTTCTTTACTTCCGAATCCCATGCAGATTCCTGTTTAGCTCTGCGTGTGATTCTCACTCTTACCTCGCTCTTGCTCAGTGAGGCTCGCCACGCCAGGCGAGCCCACAGCCGTGATAACTCCAGCTTCGCAATCTATTTTATGCTCGACCCTTCGGCCCACTACTTCGCCGATGAAGTATTGCCATGGATCTACTACATTAACCTCTTCATATGCTAGACCCTTCACATTCTAACGCTCGCCTCGGTAGTGGGAGTCGTCCTCCTGCTATGCCTGTGGCGCCAGATTTTCATAGACCCCGACTGTAAGCCGCTGCTACAGTGGACTTTTGTGTCGTGTTGTATAGTTATTTCATATATATAGTCATTGGCTTCGAAAGGCTGGAAAGCTTTGAAGTTGTAGATACCCATGTAACATCAAGGCTGGGTACATGGAGGCAGAAAGCACGCAGAGGCGCTCAGAGTCGCCACGCGCGTCGCATTCATTCCCACGCCCTCCCAACCAGAAAGAAAAATTCAAATGGCCTTCCTCCTCTCCTCCCGTCACCATGTCCCGCCTAATAATCAAAAATCTACCGGTCTACACGACTCCCGACCGTCTCCGACAACACTTCACGCAGCCCAACGCGCCCAAGGCCACGATCACGGACGTGAAAGTGGCCCACAAGCGCGACGGCTCCTCTCGTCGATTCGGGTTCGTAGGATTCAAGAGCGACGAAGAGGCGAGGGCGGCGCGGGAATGGTTCGACAAGACGTTTCTGGACTCGGCTAGGGTGAGGGTCGATATCGTCGACGTGAGTTCGTATCCGTTGGGCTGATCCGCTGTGCTAGAGCTGAAAGCGTTCGGGTGTAGGGAGCGAAGGACGCGCCGAAACCTCGACCGAATAAACGGCCGCGTTTGGAGAAAGATGCGAGTCCCGAGGCTGGGCCGTCGACGCTCGCCAAGCCCGTGAAAGCCAAAGACGCGGAATTTGATGCGTTTATGGACGTCATGGCGCCTAAATCGCGTACGGGTCCTGCGTGGGCCAACGGCGAGCCATCGCAGCCCAAGTCTTCTTCCAAGAAAGACAAGAGGGAGGAAGAAGCGCCGGAGGGACTGAGCGACATGGAGTGGATGCGGCGTCGGATGTCGGACCGTGTCGAGGCCGACAAGGCGTTCGAGCAGGACGACGACGACGACGGCGGCGGGGGCAGTGCCGAGAAGCCGACGGTGTCGCACGACAAGCCCGATTCGACGCGAAGTACGATCCTCCAGACCGGGCGCCTGTTCGTCCGCAATCTGGCCTTTTCCTGTGCAGAGGAAGAGCTGAAGGAGCTCTTCGGGCCCTACGGCGAGCTGTCCCAGGTGAGCGTCCTGTCTCCCTGTTTTGTCGACATCGACGGCGCTCTGCGAGATGATACGCATGCATAGGGACATCAGACCTCTTTGAGGATGTTGATTTATGCGGGAAATTAGATAGTTTATACTCTGACTCTTTCCTCTCCCTCTTCATCATCGTCTTTGAACCTATTGCTAACTCCCCTCCACAGGTACTTGTAACTGCTCATACAATGCTACATGCACTGCTGACGTCTCCTCTTTGGTTTCCGTTTATCTTCCCCTAGGCAAGTCTTCCGCTCCCTGTTCGCACGACTCGTCCTCTCGCGGATGAAAGATATGCATAGGGACAGCAGACCTTCGCGAATGCTGATTATGCTGGGAAAATAATAAGATAGTTTAGACTGAACCTCTCCTGTTCTTCCCTCGACCCTCCCACATCCACTCACTGACGCCCTTTACCCCTACAGATCCACCTCCCGCTCGACCCAGCAACGAAACAACCGAAGGGTCTGGCCTACATCCGCTTCACCAAACCCTCGGACGCTCTCACCGCGTACGACGCGCTGGACAAACGATCATTCCAAGGCCGACTGTTACATATCCTGGGCGCCGTCGATCGACACGGTAACCTCTCGCTCGAGACGGAAGAGGGAAAGAAGAAGACGTTGAAGGATGAGAGGGCTGACAAGCGCAAGGCTGGGGCGGGGAAGGAGTTTAACTGGAGTATGCTCTACATGAACGTATGTATTCTTTTCTCCCCTTGTTCGGGATGCGAGCGCTGATGAAAATTGATAGAGCGACGCAGTAATCACATCCGTCGCATCCCGCATGAACATCTCCAAATCCGACATCCTCGACCCATCTACCTCAAACGCAGCCGTAAAACTCGCTCTAGCAGAAACGCACGTCATATCAGAGACCAAAACCTACCTCGAGTCTCAAAACGTCGACCTCAACTCTTTCTCGTCCCGACAACGTTCAGACACGATTATATTGGTGAAGAATATACCGTTCGGGACGAGCAAGGAGGCGTTGGAGGAGATGTTTAGTGCGCATGGGACGCTGGAAAGGTTGTTAGTGCCGCCGGCGGGGACGATGGCCGTTGTCGTGTTCGAGAAGGCGGAGGACGCGAGGAGCGCGTTCAAGGCGATCGCGTATCGCCGGCTGGGGAACAGCGTGGTATACCTCGAAAAGGGTCCCGCGGGCATGTTCAAGGCCGCGCCTTCGGCCACCGCGAAGGACGCCCCCACTGTGGATGGAGTCAAGCCCATCGCTATTGCCGACGAGAACGAGGCAGAGCCAGATCTAGCGGCTGGAACAACGCTCTTCGTCAAGAACCTCTCATTCGCGACTACCTCCGACCGTCTAATCGCTACATTTTCTCACCTCCCTGACTTTTCCTTCGCACGCATCCAAACCAAACCCGACCCCAAACGCCCAGGCGCACGACTCTCCATGGGCTATGGTTTCGTCGGGTTTAAGACGATTGAAGGTGCCAAGAGGGCGTTGAAGGGTATGCACGGGCATGTGCTTGATGGACATGCGTTGAGCGTTCGGTTCGCTGGGCGCGGGGCTGAAGAGGCGGACGGGAAGGAGGGAGGGAAGGATGTGGGAGGAAAGGGAAAGAGTAGGACGAAGATGTTGGTCAAGAATCTGCCATTTGAGGTTACGAGGAAGGACGTGCGCGAGCTCTTCAGGTACGCTTTTCCCCATACACTTCTCCGAGATACTGAGGCTCATCATCCTTCCCACAGCGCACACGGTCAACTGAAATCTCTCCGTCTCCCCAAACGATTCGATCGCCGAACGCGGGGCTTCGCATTCTTGGAATTCAGCTCCAAGCACGAAGCGGAGTCCGCGTACAATGCTCTCAAGCATACGCATTTGCTCGGTCGTCACCTCGTGTTAGAATGGGCCGATGAAGGGGAAGTCGATGTTGAGGAGTTGAGGAGGAAGGTCGGGGTTGGGCTAGGTGATGGTGGTGAGATGCCTGGGAAGAAGAGGAAGTTGAAGATGGTGGAGGATGCGGATGATGGTATGGACGGGATGGAGGAGTAGATCGTATGCACTTTTTGTCTGTGCTCTGTCGTTTTGTATATTCTTTACACTCTCATTCTTTGCATTTGTACACTCGCATACATACCGCCCCTCCCTGAGCCTTGTAAACGGCTACGCGTCACGCACTAAGACGCGCGCAGTTGTACAATCTCAACTGCGAGCGCTACGCCTGAGTAAGACGCCCAGGACCGCTGTCACAGCTGCGCGCGCCCTTTCATCGATGGCCAGCTGCACACTGCGGGCGCTGAGCAGTAGAGCCCAAACAGGCGCGCGCAGCCGATGTCACACGGAATATTTCCGGGACCGGCGTCAACTCGTCCTCATCGTCAACAACCATGATCAAGGGACTGCAAGCAACCGGACCCGATACTACCATGACTCGCGGGCACTCTTGAACCTTACGATGCCACTCGTATCATGGAGACGGTCAGTGAGGAAGAGTCCTCGGCGGCGTGCCCGAGCGGGACCGGCGCCAGTGAGTCGAGCGCGCTGCCCTGGCCGCAATGATGCGCTTCCGCCGCCCAGCTCGCGCAGCGGCTCCGCGCGTCTCATTTTCCCGTCGTTTGAATGTGGATGGGCGACGTTCTGCGAGTCATGTCGGCTGCGCCGCGTCAGGATCGACGGTATGGTTCGAGATGTTGAACGCCGGAGGTGGTGGTATATAATGCTCTGCGGTTGAAGGTGATGAGACTCAGCAAACCAGCTACATATTTCACTCAGAGTATACCGCACCACGAGTCTCTCAGCTCTATCTCTACCATAACCGCATTTACGGCCATCACTGCTACTCAGACAATACTCTCAACAATGTCCTTCAAGATCTCTGCCGTCTTCTCCAAGAAGAACCCTTCCTCTTCTACTGTCGGCACCTTCTCAAACGACTCGAGTAAGTCTCTCTGATGTTATCTGGCTCATGAACCAGTACTAACGCACACATCCGTTCAGTGATTACGCTCGTCAACGAGAAACGCGCCTATCCAGCCACTCAGCCGCGCACCCAACCCCTTGAAGCCTTCGGCGCGTTGGCCGGTACCTACGGCTACGCTGGTACCCTCGCAGGCCCTCCTCCCATTAACCCCTCCGGATCGAAGAAGGCTGAAAAGGCGCGCAAGGCTGCGGAGAAAGCTGTTGCTGCCTCCGCTTCTCCCTCATACACCCCCGCCGCGCTCATCAACACCTACGGCTACGCCGGTACCCTCGCCGGACCTCCGCCCGTCAACCCGTCCGGCACGACTAGCAAGAAAGCGCTGCGTCGCTAACTGGTCGTCGGCCATCCACACTCGAATTATCGTCATGGCCTTGTTGGTCGCATTCGCTTGCGGTAGCTTCGCGCTCAGTAGGCTATCGCTTCGCGCACGCCTTATTGGGGCACGCGCATAGAGGCGGGAGGGGATTAGGACGGAATAGAGGACGCTCTTTTAGGCCGAGCGGCTGAAGGGGCTTGAGGGTTCAAATTAGCCTGGAATGCGAGCTGTACTTGAGCCGAATCTCTCCTCTGTCCTCTCAATTGTTGTCGGGGTCTTGCCTGCGTTTGCCTCTACGGCCGTCTTTTAAAAATGTGTCGTTGTATAGTGTCTCACCTAGTATCATCCTTGTTCTTCTGAAGAATACACTCTGTTTGTGAGAAGTACGCGTTCGATCGGATGCTTTGCCTATGCAACGTCTCTTTTTAGTGCACTGTGACTCTAGGCCAAGATCGGAAGAACGGCCATATCGCAATGACAATATCCAATGCTTCAACTAGTGGTCATGAAGCGACGGATAGCAAGATCACAGACACGCTGCGCCTGGTACTTAAACCCAGGGCATGAAGCAACCGACTCTTGAGGTTGGAGAAAGGCGGGTCGTTGAGTGATCGAACGATCTCCGAGACAGTGGTTTCTCTGACGAGAGCATGCTCATAACAGTCTCAAGAGGATGCCCTAGATCGTACATCTCATACTCACAAATGAAGGTGACAGCAAAGAAACGCAGACTGGGAGAGGACAGGCGCTCACTCATGGCAGTTCTTGCATTCGCGTATCAGAGCGGCAGTCTTCCGATGAGCCCGACAGCAGGGAGATGGCAATCCATGAGATTGACGGCTCCGCGTATCCTATGCTGCGGGGTACTGAAGCTGCTTCAACGGGCAGCGGCGCAGGGCCAAGACCTCGATGGTGGAAGAAGCTGAACAAGCAACAACTGAGCCGCAAGTGGCGCGCGCAGCCTGTGTCACGCGGAATATTTCGGGCACCCCGGTCTACCCCGGTCCGCGCTTGTCTTCGTCGCATACCACCACGATCAACGGTCCATACAAGATGTGCGGCTATGACCCGTTCAATTGAATCCATGTCGGTATGCGGCGGTGTGAATGGCTTAATGCAGGCCTCGCCTGCAAACGGAACCGACGGTACTGGTGAGTCGAACGTCGTCGAGCGCCGCCCTGAACGCGCCGCCCTGGCCGCATGCCGCAGCGGGCGCTTTCGACGCTCAGCCCGCGCAGCGGCTCCGCACGTCTTGTTTCTCCGTCGTCTGAATGTGGGCGAGTGCGTACTGCGAGTCATGTCGGCTGCGCCGCGTCAGGATCAATGGTATGGTTCGAGATGTTGAACGCCGAGGATGGATTGAGAGGTGGTATATAATGCTCTGTGATTGAACGTGGTGAGACTCAGCAAATCAGCCACATATCAGTCAGAGGCTCCACTCTACAAGCTTCTCAGCTCTTTCATCATCATAATCGCATCTACGGCTATCACTTTTACCCAAATCACACCCTCAACAATGTCTTCCAAGATCGCCGCCGTCTTCTCCAAGAAGAACTCCTCTTCTGCTGCTGTTGGCACATTCTCGAACGACTCGAGTATGTCTCTCACGATTTTCTGCTTCATGAGCGGCTTCTTATACTAGGAATTTCTCAGTGCTCACGCTCGTTAACGAGAAACGCGCCTCTCCAGCCACTCAGCCACGTACACAGCCTCTTGAGGCCTTCGGCGCGCTGGCTGGCACATACGGCTACGGCGGTGTCCTCGCGGGTCCACCTCCTATCAACCCCTCCGGCTCGAAGAAGGCCGACAAGGCGCGCAAGGCCGCGGAGAAGGCCGCCGCCTCTGCCTCGAACCCTTCTTCGAGCACCCCCGCTGCACTAGTTGCCACGTACGGATACGCCGGTACACTCGCCGGTCCTCCGCCCGTTAACCCGTCCGGGTCGACCAGCAAGAAGGCCTTACGTGGCTGAGCGGCAATGCACACTCCTCCCACCACTATGACCTCGACGGTCGCACCTGCTTGCTGTAGCTTCGCGCTCAGTATGCTATCGCTTCGCGCACGCCTCCCTTGGCACGCGCATCTTAGCGGCGGAAGTGCAATGGCTCGCCCTCATGACAGGTGTTGACAATGCAACCTCGACTTGAAGGACAGCATGTACTGCACTTTTCCTGCCCGAGCTCCGTATTTTGCCGTACCACTTTATTTCCATTCGCGTCTGTCAGATTAGGATCGCTGTATAACATCATACATACGACATAGGATCACTTCTCCTTCTCCTTCTCAGCTTCCAACCGTTCTCGCTCTCGCAAGTCTCTCCTACGCTTCACGTCCCAATTGTACACCCGTGCAGTGTTGACCTCCATGATCGTGAGCTGCTCGCGCAAGAATTCCAGATCCTCGATCGTGTTGTCCAAGCTTGTCTGCGCGGTTGCCAGCTTAGATGTTAATAGTTCGACGGCTTCTTGAAGTGTATACGAGAGCATGACATTCGCCTGCGAGTATGATCAGTATAGCAGGGCGGTGGAGATGATAGTAATCTTACTCCGAGCCATAAGTGAACAGTATCTGAGTCCTCCAGCTCAGCTTCGGCGTACAGAGTATCGGCTAGCTCAAACGTTGTCACCAAAGGCTTGGGTTCGGCGTCGTCCTCGAGGTCATCTTCGAGATCATCTTCGTCCCCGGATGCGGGCTTCTTGCCTTCCTACATGGAAGACCACGTTAAGCACCTGAGTATATCCAAACAAATGCCCCACTACTCACTCGTCGGTCGCGCAAATATTCAACCATGCTCAACGTTTTCTTGATGTCCGGGACCTTGTCCTCCAAACTCCGCCTTCGTTGGTTCAAATTTCCGTCCATGTAGCGATACTTGCTGGATTATAGCTCGATCAACACGTGTCTGGGTCAATCTTACTATATGACGCACGCCATAGCGTCTTGGAACGCGCTCAAAACCTTCTCAGCGTCTGCTCCGGAGCTGGAAAGATATTCCTCGACATCGCTCTACGCGCCAGGATTAAGATGCCGAGGGCGAGCGATGCGACGTTGTCACGCACAATGAACAAGGCTTTCGGTATACCACGAGGATTTCTCTCGTCTTGGATGATTTTGGCGGGAGCAGACATGGTGGATCGACGATAGTCGTGGGGGTAAGAGGTCGAGATGGCTCACGCCGCCGCGGCGCGACATCTTAGACGCGTCGCCTGTCGCAGAACGCGTCTTCGCTCTTGCCATCATGACGTTCGGCTGATGGCCGGTCACAGTAGTTGAGGCGATATAGCTATCATAGGCTTCTACAGAAACAATGGTGCTACAGTATACATCTCACGTTCAGGAATGTCTATTTTCCTTCGAGTGTCCCAGCTGCACTCTACACGCCCAACATCGCCTGGGCTGAGATGGGGTTCGCCATCGCCATCCGCCCGCGGAACATGCGCATTCCTCCATCCTCGTCCTTTGATATCTCCTCATCGGACTTTGTCTTGATCATCTGCGTGGAGAGGAACTCGATCTGCTTCATGAGCATGTCCTCAGGACCCTCCGGTGTCTTCCCTGCCGCTTGCGCATGCGCGTACGCCAGTAAGAATGACAAGAACCTATATGTTCCAGTCAGCATTTCTTCATCGTCACACGGAAGCCTGAACGCACAGCTCTTTCAAGAAGGCGAAGCTGAAGCCTTCCGTAGCTCCAGCGACCTTCTTCGCCACTTCATCAACAGTGTTCGTGAATTGGATCTTGGGCTTGTCTCCTTCTCCAGAGGCTATGGCGACCTTACCGATCCACTTCTCAGCGAACGCATAGCGCAGCTCCGCGTCGGGAAGTGCGTAAGTGTACTTCACGTCGAAGCGAGATGGCCTGTTGACGATGGCGTCGTCGATGCGCTCGGGGTGATTGGCTGTATGGCAGTCAGTCAGGAATATCGGGTTCACTGACAGAGGGTAGACTCACTAGTGGAAATGGTCAGAATGCCATGATTGGCTGCGATACCGTCAAGCTCGTTCAAGAAGAAGCTTCGGACTGCAGGAGTGACCATTGCGTCTAGGTCCTGGGATAGTCCTTCAATGATCATGCTACATACACGTTGTGGCATGTCTCTCACCTCGATGACCAAGATGCAAGGGGCGTGCTTGCGTGCATGCGCGAAGATACTGCGAACTCCAGCTTCAGGTCCCTATGACACATATTCAGCAATGGGTTTCGATCTGAGACGACGATACATACACGCTGGGTGGTGAACGACTTGACGTAGAGCGCGGGGTACGGCGATTCCTTCAACAGAGCTTTGATCGATTCCGTCTTCCCGTTACCCGGACTACCAAGGAGCACTACGAGATCAGGTTAGTGATCCCACGCGCATCGTGTCTATAGTATGGGCAACTCACAGACACCTCGCTTCCAGGTGATACCGAGTGACTCGTAGATAGCCTTGCTGTCGAAGAACTGCATCATATCGCGCTTCAGGTTCTCCTTGAACTCCGGCGCGAGCACAATGTCGTCCCAGTTCGCCTCTTGGATCGCTGCGTACAGGTCCTTGTCCTTGTTCCAGCACTCAGAGTGATACACCCAGATCTCGTTCTATGCATTGATAGATCAGAGGCAGTCGCAGACAAACGCGAAGGGTTTATGGCACACCTTAAGCTCAGCGGCATACGCATACACAGCAGCGGCCAGACGCTTCCCCGACTCGTCATCCGCGGCGTCAAAGACCAAGTCGGCGAAGAAGGCGCTTCCGTGGAAACCCTGCTGCCAGGCAGCTTTGAAGGCTGTGAAGGCGATGCCCTCATACTCGAAGGTCGCCTTGCCCATGAAAGTGCGGGGCACGACCGTCTTTGTCGCGTTCTGGTACGTGTGGATCGTGAATGAGTCTCCATTCAGACTGCCGGTGGAGTCGCGCTCGGAGAAGGCATGGACGACGCCGATGGAATTAAGATACGAGAAGAGGGGGAAGCTCTGCTCTTGATTCTCGAGTGATACGACGTGGCGGGAGGTTGGATGGGCCTCGTACAAGGACTTCAATACCAGATACGTCTCGTGCGTCGCGGGCTGACCGAAGATGGGCGTGAGGTGCTGGGCGAAGGAAGACATGGTGCGCTGTGTTGAGGCAACATAATCGGATGGCCATGTTTAATACTGCTATGCGGTGACTCGGTATTGTTCATAGGGCTAGAGAAGATGCGGCCCCGCGTAGTACGGCCTCCTTGTGTCGTGGAACAGGAGTTCGCAGGAGTCCTAGTGTCTGGCGAATGTGGTCTGGCGACCAGATTCGCAGTGAATTCTCGGAGGTCCTCAGCCAGAGCCCAGATTCGCAGGTGAGATTCACCCAGATTCACCCAAGATTCGCTGGGGCTGGAAAATGCCGAAAATAATCGAAAATATCTGGAAAAACGCTCAGTAGCGGGACCGCTCGCCCACCACCGAGTCAAGTTCGCTCAAGGAGTACAACTGGACCTTTCGTCGGCTCTTCCGCTGCCAAAACATATCCGCGGTAGTCGCCTGGGCCCACATTCGCCTACCAGATTCGCAAGGCCTCTGGCGGCCCGACCAGATTCGCAGGAGAATTCACCGTGATTCACGTCGCGAATCTGGTCTCTGTGAATCTCCCGGCGACATTCGCCGGACACTACGCAGGACGTACATACGGATCCTCTATCGGAAGATCTCAATTCGATCACCACGGATTGTAGGATCATGACGCACATCTCTATGCAGTGCGGCTCTGCCAAGGCTGCGCACTAGTACAGGGACTCAACGTGCAAGGCTTCTTTGAAGACTCATCACGTCGCGTAGTCGGCTTGAGGCTGATAATCGCGAGCGCCTGCATACAGTGGGAGCCACATAAGCCAGCGTGTTCACCAAGCGGTGAATCTTTCCCGCCGCTAGCTATTCTCAGCGCTGCGCAGAAGCAGTAAAGCCCGGCACCTGATCAGGAGAGCCCGCAATGACTAGGACCTGGTATGGAGGGAAGGGAAGCTACGAGGTGGTCGGATCTACAGTATCAGCGCCAATCGCGCCGGCACGGCGGCCTGCCTCGAACTTGACCATTGACAGTGACCTTGTCAGTGTACTTTATTGCTCATCGCGTTTGAGGAAGTGATGGGACGCTCGTCTATAAAATGAAGGAAGAGCAAAGAGCTACGATACGGTGGGATCCAATATGCGTTCCAATCGCAGGGGCATTTTGGGATGCAGACTCTTCTCGCCGTTAACGCTGGGAGAGATCAACGGGCCGAAGCGCCAAACAATCTCTTGATCCGGGCAGGAAATGAACTTGAACACTGGTAGCAACATCGCTAGAGTAGTCTCTGGGTGCATAGGGTTAGCGGTACCCTCCATTGCTAGTCGATAAGGACTAGACATACTCATCTCGAGGATGGCGAAAGAGAACCCGCTAAACGATCCGGGATGAGCATGGGGCGGCAAGGCCGAGATTCGCGCGCAATCACTCACAGACACGCCTTCGGACCGCCGAGGAAGGACATCCTAGGCGGAGCACATCAGCCTGTTTCATGGCAGTTTCACGCGAGGGGAACGCCACTCACGAGTGCGCATACACGCCTGGTATCTCTACCTTCGGCAACGGTTTGAACCAGCGCTCAGGCTGCCACTCCTGCGCGTCAGTCCCCCACACTGCTGGATCCGTGTTTAAGCCATGGCAATTGACCAGGACCTCCGTACCCGCGGGTACGTGTAGTGTCTCCCCACTCGAAAGAGGGATCGCCGTTTCTTCCGCCGCTCTGAGGCGCTGTGAGTTCATGGAATGATCAGGTCGATAAATGAAGAGGTCGTACATGCGATTTCGGTATGGTAATGGCGCATAAAGTCGCAATGTTTCCCTGCACACTGCATCGAGAAGGGGCAGAGCGGTCAGGGCATCATAGTCGACGTCTTGTCCCGCTTGCACAATTTCAGCACGCAGGCGCCCCTGTATATCCTGATTGAGAGCGAGTAGGTGGAGGATGCGACATAACGCGTTAGATGTGGTCTCAACGCCGGCTAGCACGAGAGTACTAGGTAATGTGAGCTTCAGGTCGTGCAACGCGAACAGATTGTTAGACCGACTTCAACTGAGACAACAGTTCCTCTTCGGGTAGACCAGGACCCATCCTACTCGTCGCGCCCTCTCCCACTGATCCAGACCAGTCAAATCATCGCTTACGAAGATCACGGATCATCTACTCACATAATACGCCCAGCAAGTCGTCGGAATGCTCGACCGCTTCCCGCAACATCATATTCCCACCAATCAATTCGGCCTTCTTGGATTCCCAAAGGTCCCTCGACGTCCTGTACAATGTGTCCACAATCGCCATGAAGCGTCGTAAAGTCGGAAAGATGTACGAAACGCCATCGCCTGCAGCCCGGAGTACAGGTGGGGGCAGATCTGCCAACCCAATGGCGACAAATACTGCCAACAGCGGCCCGAGAGCCGTCAGCGCTGGGCTGCAAACGTGAGCCTGGGGTTTCTGGGACAGACGCAGAGACGCGGTACACTCACACCAGCTCCTTGGCCGCGCTAACATACTCCGAGCCCTCTGAGTCGCCCTTCAGCGCATCTAAAGAGCCACCGAAGAAAGAGCAGCCAAAGTGGGCTTGTCCTACGACTTCCAGTGCTAGATGACCCAGACTTGGTGCAACGTCAATGATATCCCCACCCGACAGCTCGATCCGAGTGATCAATGAACTCCTGAACTACATTCGGTGTGAAAAGGGGTGATGAGCTTTGCTACAGTCGACGTCACCTGCTTAACTACCTCTTGCACAAGTGGTGAGATGTGCCGTATCTTCGTGCCGGAGAACGCAGGGTTGAGCACTTTGCGCTGCCTCCGATGTTGTGAGCCTACAGATGAAGATAATTGGCTCATGGGTCCGCTCAGGGATCATCCAATGACCGACCGTTGGTAGTCAATAAGCCCGGGCCAAGCATGAACATGTTGACGTGTGTGGTGCCTGTCAGGTCAACCTCAGGAAAGGTGTCTGAATCGTTGACGAGTATGTGCGTGAGAGCCACTGGGTCGGAAATGCAAAGCAACGCGTCCTGTAGACGAATCAGCACGGGCCGGTATGCGAGGAGGTTGCATAGCAGATACATACGCCGCACAGCCCGCTTAGCCTCGCAACACTACCATAGCAAAGGAGAAGTTCGTCAAAGAAGTTCAATCCCGATGGGTCGATGATCTGCTTCAAATGCCCTACAAGTAAATGAGTGGCCTTGGTCGAACCCCGGCGATAAGCTTTTGGTCTAACTGACCTGTAAGAAAGGATGCGCTCGGCGGACCGCGAATGTCGCGCAGAGCCCGGCGCTTGCGTATTCGCGAGGCTATGGCTCTACAGAACCGCAAACAAGTCGCAAACAGGCCTACCAGTGGGATTAGAATGAGGGGACCCATCGCTTGGAAAGCTGCTTCGGGCCTCGTTAGCCTTTGTATACATGCTGAGCGACCTTACATAGTAAATCACTGGCGCGTTTGGTTTTGGCTTCCCTGGCCGAATCACACCGAGAACACACCGAGTGTCGCCGCTCCGACACATCACAAGATGTAGTATGACAGGTTCTCGACCCTTCGCGTTCGGGATTCTACTTGTTATGTAGGGGAGGTTGCCTAGCTCGTACAGAGGTGGGGAGCCAACAACTGCTCGGATCAGCCACGAGGTCCGACGGTCAGTCTATTCAGACTGGGTCGAATTTGAACCGACGGAAGGCTGAAGCCAGACCAGCGCGGACTTCCACCCGGAGTCACTGGCAGGTCTAGCGAACTGACTTCACATAATCAACATTCAGCCAGGCGAAATACTTGCATAGTGATGCTATAAGATCGCTCAGTCAGCCTTCTCGACGCCTGATCTACTCACGATATCGGCATTAGGAGACTTGTCCAGGGCCGGTTTCTTGTGTAGACCATAGCAACGCAGACACACGGTAACATAGTCGTTGACGGGTGCGAAGTCCGACTCCCCTAAAACTTGGCGTCCATCAACGGGAGTGCATAGCCAGAAGTAGGAGTCGAGGCTGGCTGATTGAGCATCCTGGTAGCGCCGCATTTCTTTCAGGGTGTCGTACTAGGCTCAATGGAGACATGATACTCACCAAGACACTCCCGATTCACTCGTAACAGCTGTGTGTACGCCGTGTTGGCGTACTCGCAAGGAACCGTGCGGGGAAGTCGGGCACGGGCATCTACCCCAGATTTCCATGGCATTGTACGTGTCGCGCAGTACACGGCAAGCTCTGAGAGCTTTCGGAGGTAGCTCCGCCGTGTATTATTCCAGTGGATGTCCGAGAAAGAGCTGTTGGACGTTTTGCAGGAGGATGACCGGGGGCGTCGAAGCAGTGGTTTGCGGTATAGCGAGCACGCTCCGTGCGCCCAAACGCCAATAGCCTGAGTCACCAGTCTCTCTTTATGTTCAAATGAGAGTCAAAGAATCTGGATGTTCATTGCGATGGCGGTAGCTGTCAACCTATTCACGTCGCGCTTCAACACGCGCGGCGCCGGAAGCCGCGAACGCGGTTGATACGCGGTCAGGTGAGTTTATTCTAGATCTTCATCTTTGTCATCACTGCTGACAGGATCGTCTCCCACTCACTCTGGACTGAAGACTCCAGACCAGTATGCAGCCAGAAACAGTATTAACAAGGTTGGTGACATCTACCTGATCCTGAAGTTCGGTTCGAGGCTCGGGTCAGGCCGTCGGGGGAAAGCGAAAACCGTTCAACTGAGTTTTGGTCAATGCAAGGTTCGCGTAAGCTCGAAGGGCATGTACATACCTCATAAGGAAGCGCCTGACCTTGAACGACGTTCCAAGTTTGTGCTGACCTTTAAAGATTCTTAAAGGAAGCCGGCAAAATTCTCATCCCACTCAAGCTAGGCGACGACCTTGCCAGGAATTCGTAGGGAATAGGCAAGGTTTCAAGATCTCACAAGCCTACCTGAGCAGAGAGCATTAGCTGTCGTGGGATCTGTAGGTCCGCTTACTGGTCGGTAGTGCTGGATACCCTACGGTAGCCCACGGTACGCGGAGAGGCAGGGAGAACAGCCTGCGCGCGACGGAATGGACGCCGATGGGCTGCTGG